GGCCTGGGAGAGCATTGTTGTGGAGACCTTCCTTTTGTGTGAAAGTGCATGAAGAACAGATTCGCAGGTTCATCTCACCACAAGAGGACGGCTAAATCCTGTTGTATTACAGCCGTTTGGCTTTAATACGACGCTCAGATCGACGCAATCCGTGAAGCATCCTCCCTCATTTCGTCCATCACTCGAAGCACATCATCAGAGCTGCAACTCACATTAGCAGCATCAGGTCAAGAAGACTATCCGGCTCTATCTTGCCTCGTAAATATAATCATAAACCTAAACGAAAATGAATGGACTAATTTAACTAATTATCTCGTGTGTGTGTGTGTGTGTGTGTGCTAACATTTATACACAATAACGGTCCTAAATGAGAGAGGTCAAAAAAGACCAATGTCAGGCTCTGGACATCAAGGCTAAATGACCCTAACCGAGACTGCGTATGTCTGTAAGCAAGTATAGTTGAGATAATGAGATATGATCTTGTAAACGTGTAAATCAAGTGACGAAACCAACTGACCTAACCTCTCAGTCTAGGGTCATTAAGGTTGTCACCTCCAAAGGAAAGCATGACATGGTACGTCTGGTTTTGTTGATCAGCCCAAGTGAAGTTGGAACCATCACCGAGCAGACCAGGTGAGTTGTCTTCTTTTGAATGACGCCTCAACACCCTCTCTCTCCTTCAATCTATCAATCAAGCATAAATAGTTCTTATGGAGGTTGTTTGACCTTGTTTTCGCGAATTGGTCATGTTGGTAGGAAGACTTAGAGGAACGCACCTACTCCGTTGTCCATTTTCTGCATGATCATTTCCAAAGTCGAACCGTGGACGTGGTACATTCCCAAACGTTGTGAGTGAGTATCGACATTCTTACGATGCCGATGAAACGTTTTGGAATGTACCACGTCCATAGTTCGACAATGGACAACGGAGTAGTTGCGTTTCTCTAAGTCTTCCTACCAACATGACCAAGTTGCGAAAACAAGGTCAAACAACTTGTATAAAACGAAAGGAGGCCAGACAATCTTGGTCTTTATATCTTCGATAAATAGTTCCTACTCAACTTTCTACCACCGTTTATCACATTCAACGTATTTCCTTATCTTTCTTTTAATCGCAGACGTACCAAAATCAGCAAGCCTACTCGTTTGAGACCATTCGACCTCATGTCCAGTCTCTGGCATGTGTTCGGCCACTTCTGATCGTTTGACCCAGCTTCCTTTACAAGCATTTTTGTGATTCTTCAATCGGCATGTCTCACCAACATAAAGTCGACCACAGGAGCACACAATCTTTTAGCAACGGGATCTCGAGAATGGGTCATATTTCTCTCTAAAAGATGACATAACAGAAAAAAATGTGAGGGTCTATATTTATGCCTATTAATTTTCCTTTTTTACTTATAAGACTATACAAGAGTCGGATAGTCTTTTTGACCTAACACTGTAAATGTGAAACTTTTACAAGAGTGATACCCAGCTCTGATGTTGTCCATCGAATGACGGACGAAAACTTTGTCCGTTTTCGTCCGAAGCGAGGCAGGATGTCTCGCATAGAAGCCAAATGGCTGCGGTACAACGCGATTCATCCGTCCTCTTCTGGTGAGATCGACCTACGAATCTTTTCTTCATGCATTTTCATACGAAACGAGAGTCTCAACAACTAAATCTCCACGTCTAGACTGTGCCTCTAAAGTCGTCCGTCATGGAAACCGCAAAGTTGTGGTACTTAATGTGCTGGTTTCGTGCCTACACGAACACATGAATGCACATACACACACACACAGGCGCGACACACTCACGTGCTTCGAGGTTGACCTACAAAGTGAATTGCCCAAATCCCTTTGAAACCTCATCATAGTGTGTATACACACTACTTAGGCACGAGCCGGAAGTTTTTGCTGATTCGCTAGCTTGAACATGTAGATACGAAGAGTGACTAGGTCCCAAAGATTCTACTGAGAATGTATCAAAGTCAAAAATGGCTGCAGTACAACGGAAGCAAGACGTCGTATTCTGGTGAGATGAACCTTCGAAACTCTTCATACGAAATGAAAGTCTGTCCAAATGATCGTCTGCTCTGATCATATCCGGCATAAGACAGACGGTAGCTTAGCTTAGCTCATTTTCACCGCAATCGAAGGAGGTAACCTCGGAAACAGCAGGCTTCAGTTAAGTCGACTGACACCTGGCCGAGAGGAATCCGCTGGTGGTCGTCTTCTGTTGATATCTAAATTCGGACATCTTCAAAGCAGCCACACACACACACACACAGACACACCCACACACAATTTAACTAAAAAAGTAAGTGAGCTCAACAAGTATGAACCAAAGTGTCCGATCAACGCCGTGGAGACGGGCACCTCGTGTTGCGGCCAAACAGTGCCATCTTCGAGTGGCAGGCGCTAACCGCCCTTTTAGCAAAGAGTGTGGTTGGGTTGAAGCGAGGGAGCCTGATTGGCGAAAGGACCTCGGACCGAGTCTCGCAACGAGTTCGGTCTGGTTTGGTCGTCGGCCAATCACGGACAGGTTGGCGTTCGTCTCGCCTACTCCATCACCCGAGTCGACCCATCCTCTTTTACACACAATCTCGGCGCTAGTCTCGACCTCGACTTCGACCTCGGCTCGAGGGAGAGGTGCATCTCGACGCCCGTCGGTACCGAGGCGTGAGCAGGCCTCTCGGTGTCTGTGGATCGGCCAACCAGCTGGTGAAAAATGAGTCGCAGGTGTGTATGTCTTTACGCTTCACTTACAGACATGAGGTAGGGTCAGAAAGATTACATGCTCAATCATGGGCCAACACCAAAGTCGAGAGAAGAAGAGTCATTGCCATGACCAAAGGCCAAAGGTAGCGCATCTTAAGATGGATGAGATGATGAAGAGAACTGGCGACAGGACAGACAAGCGAGCTCTTCGACAAAAGTGGTCAAAATGGGGTAATTGGTGACCGCTTTTTCTGTTGGCGTCTACAAGGCCGCTTCGGCAGCAGGAAACGGAGAAACCGACTTTGTGCACATTTGCTCGTCAAGGTAGGGCAGTGCATTTGTATGTGTTGAGGTTGTGTGTGTGTGTATGTGTTGTTAGTATTACGGCTATGGTGTTTGAGGAGGATAAATAGTGATATTTTTGGTACCAAAGCTGGTTCGTCCGAGAGGCAGAAGACGTGGAGACGTAAAAGTTAGTTTTCTTCATTTAATTCTCTCCCGCTTTGGTTGGACAGTTCTGAGGCAAAACAGCTGTTGAGTGCATTTCTCTGTTGACGACAGGTTGATTGAAGCAAATGGTCAACAGTGAGTGCCTTTGAATACACAACACAACAGGCAACTGAACAGAGCATGGGTGCGTTGATGCGTGCATGTCTGGATGGATGCACACTTGCATGCGTGACGGTACAGTTGGACGATGCAAGTGAGTAGAAGACGAGTCCTCGGGACGAGGAGAAAAGTAAAACAGGATCGTGACAAGACCGGTCGCCTGGTTCGGCCGTCCAACGGAGACGAAAGACGGTCTGTTGGTGTTGGTGACAAGGTGGGAGCTGATGGTGCAAGTGGTGTCGGCGCACACACACACAAGCATACAGTGAGATGGATGGGACTAGGCGGACTGAAGACCGATGGAGGTGGGCTCGACGAGGCGGGGTGGGGCGAGGGAAGAGGAGAGGTTGTCGAGGGGCGTTGGGTACAAGATGATGCGCAGCGGGAGGCTGGTCTGTGAGGCGAGCGAGACGAATGAGACGGGGCTGTTGGTTCGGCAGCAGGACCACGCGTTGGCGGCCAGTTGGGGCGTCGTTCGAGTCCGTTTTTCGGTGAGCCAATCAACCAGCGCAGGCTCGTTGCGACTCGGCGAGAAGATGGGCGAATCGGCGGCGACGGCAACGGCGAACGCGACAGCCATGGGCGACGACGGCGACGACG